GCATAGTTATGGAGTTGATGATATTAGATGGTTGAAGGCAATCGACAGGAAGCCCAGATGGACCTAGGTTTCGTGCTAGTTGGCACTCGTCAGCAGCCCTGAAGGAAGTCATGTCCATTCTGAGATTCGAACCCGCGTCACCCAGTGAGTGTTGCAGTCAGAGACGTCATCACTGAGCTATTCGGGCTCGTGATTGACCTCCTGTAGGACTGAATGTATTGGATACTTTGATTGGACACTAGTAACTAGTGTAATGCGTCTAGTTCTTTCTTTGGTGCAGACTGAATTCCTGCCGATTGCTTCCAACTATCTAATATCATCAAATCAATGTGCACCGTGATGGCGAGCTATGTGGAATGGTGGCCACAGTGCAAATACCTGACTGATAGAATTCAGTCTGCACCAAAGAAAGGACTAGACGCATAACACTAGTTACTAGTGTCCAATCATAGTTATGGAGTTTCAACCAGCAGTATGCTGGTAGAGATCACACTGTACATAGTAAGGGGGTAGACTTTGAGGTAAATATCATAGGTTCACAATCAAATGCGTCAAAGTATTCGTTGAAAGACTACTGTTCGGTTTTATTTTTAAATAAGTTTGAGAATTAAAGACAGCAGTGGATTCAAACTCTCATACCGACGATGTGTAAGGAAGTCTAGTGCTTGAAATATCTTCCCCATTCTACACATTTCAAAACAAACGTTACATACCATTGAGGTGCTTCCCATGGATGTAAGAGCGAAATAAAAGTTATGTGAACGTGCATACCTTGTTGGAAATATATATATTTATAGCATTAGGTCAACGGATGGTGACTGCTTTGCGTTGGTCACCTTATCACAGACATTCACCATAGACAAATCTTTAAAAATAGGTACAGTGATGCTTCGCAGTGTTTCCAAACCAACAGTTGATTTGAACACGATAGAAACTCAACCGCCAGTACCATATAGATTGTAGGTAATATACTGTTTGGCAATCAAACCCGGTCTTGTTAAATAGTTTTGATGTATTGTCTGTATTTTTCTGCTCAATACCACTACGAGCAATTACTTTATGATTTGTGATTCAACAGATATTCAGAGTGTAATGGAAATGGGACCATGTCCGACTATGATCAATATCAATACTTATATCCATTCCACCTAACAAATCATATTTGGTTATGTGTTTTGACCTAAAGATGTGCAGTCACAAAACACGACTACAGACTGTGATTCAGGAAACTGTTTGCAAGTATCATCAACGAGTGATGTCCAACTACTCACAATAATCAATCAGTAGTATGTAGCATCATGTATCTGTGCTTGCTGTTAGGATGTAGTCTAGTAACAAGCAGATCACTGTGGTGGAATTTCATTTCGAACTGTGTAACTTTGCAAATCACGAAAATAAATCAATGTGTTATCCTCCCCCACCCCCAAGTAGCTAGCTAGAAGTCGAGTGGTGATTCAGTTCTCTATGCCTAGTCAAGCCAGATGCATCACTGATGGGCTTGTCCCCAAGTGAACGAAACGACTGTCTGGTGCTTAGATCACTTCGATCTAGCTAGCCAAGCACCACCAATCAGTCAGCAGTACAATACATCGTACTAATTGTGATCTAAACAATCCCAGTTTCCAAATGATACTTTAGTGGTATTCCACCTAGAACTGTGCAAATTGCAACTGCCCCCCCTCATTTGATTTCTATTGTTTCGACACCCAAAAAATACCCGATAGTAGTGTCACCAAAATTTGACAATTTGACAGGACACATGTGCTGTAAAACACGTCATTATTTCTCCGCCATCCAATGTTTACAGTTATTTTGGACTTCTCCTTTTATAGTGAGTGAAATTTGAGTGGATTTTTGCAAAGGTTTTCAGGAAACCATACTACAAAATAAATATTTGCAGAAGATAACTAATTTGAATACATATATACACACTATCTTATGTGAAGTCACTTCATACAAACAGTAGGATGGACACATGACAAACAGTTACTCGCACGTTCATAGGCTTTACAATAAACCAACCAAGTGGTGCATTCAGTCATGTCCTGTGGTTATAAAGCTCACTTGCAGACAATCTTACGAAAGAGTTTCACTTCGCAAAAGTTGATATCTGGTTTTTTTTAAGTGAAGGGAATTTTGTTGTACATTATTAAATTTCGAACACAGAAGTCGTGGTAAGCATTATTTTTATTTTAACTCTTGAAACAATAACTTGTTTTAATTTCAACAGCCTAGCACAAGTGAAAGAACACAGTCTTCGACGAACCAACCACCTTTTGGAGAGCTGCTTGACGATTTCATCGAACTGGGGACTATTCGAACAAATCCGAAGCCTACACAATGATCGTTATATATATATATATATATATATATATATATATATATATATATAATCTCTCTTGTAAATAACTGACATTTATTTAAATCACCAGGTACTTTTTTGTATTGATTTCTACCTTTTACTTCTAATAAACTGTTTTTTCCCTGTTTACAACTTTTCCCTTATCTATCGGGAAGTTGATAATTTAAAGGAAATATATTCCGATTAAGGCGTAGTAAGTAGGAGTTAATACTAACTTGAAAATAAGTTGAGTACAGAAAGTGAAGTGTGAATGGGTGGAGTCATTACAGACTTAGAACAAAGACTTAACATACAACTAGAATGGTGGTGTTATGTTCAAACTGTGTGAGGTACCAAAAGATGCACAAACATATTCCGCTCAAAAATTTCACCTGAGATAGCCAGCCGTAAGTCTTCTGTCGACCGAGAGGTTCTCTGGCGATGCTTGGCTGTAAAGGGAATACCGAGAAAATACATTGCACTGATTAAGGCCCTCTACTTGTACTCATGCAGCCAGGTGAAGGCTTACGGCGTTGTCATCTGAAGCGGTGACCACTAGTGGCGTCCGTCAAGGATGTCCATTATCCCCATTTCTATTCAACTCCATCATAGATGTACTAATGAACTTAACCCTAGCTCACTTCAGAGACTCAGGGATTGACTTGCTACCAGGGAATAATCTCGTTGACTTAGAATAAGCAGATGATATAGTCCTTCTAGGAGAGGACGCTGTCAAAATGCAGTCTTCTGAACACCCTGAGCTGCAATCTACGAATTTTTCGCATGCGGTTCGCTCCCGCCAAACGCAAGATGATGTTACAGGATTGGACTATACCGACTCCTAGATTAGAAATAGGAAGTGAAGTGGTAGAACACGTTGACCGCTTCAATTACTTGGGAAGTACCATCAGCCCCAACGGGTTGATCTTTGACGAAATCTCAGCACGGATACAGAGGGCTAGTTTCGCATATGCCAGTTTACGCCGTCTCTGGCGTAGACGTGATATGCGACCAAAGGGCGTGTGTACTGCTCAGCAGTCCGCTCCGTCCTCCTTTATGCCTGTAAGACCTGACCATTGAGAGCAGAAGACATGGAAAGATTAGCTGTCTTCGATCACAGGTGTCTGCGTTCTATCTCCCACGTGAAGTGGTATAATAAGGTGAGCAATGTTGAGGTTATGCATCCGTTGAGTGCTAGGTAAGGAGGGGAAATCAGTCGACAAGACTGTGAAATTACAACGACTGAGATGGTTCGGACATGTGTTACGTATGCCTAGTTATCGCCTTCCTCGACGAGCAACGTTACCTGACATAGGGTCAGACTGGAAAAGAGCTAGCGGCGGTCACACCAAAACATGGCACTAGTCAATGAAATCTACAACAGTTAGTCTAAGCCCCGTAGGAAGGTGTAGACTTCCTGGTTGGGGTCCTCGGGACAGTAAAAACCAATGGTTAGAAACAATTGGTGACATGGCTCAAAATCGTTCTCAATGGCGTAGATGCATCCCCTCCTTGTGACTTATAATTTCCAATGAAACTATATTCTTCTTCGTTATAACTATCCCTTTGTCTCTCACCTCTGTTTACTGTCTATATTGTGCATTTCTTCTATTGCTTTGTGTGCTACATGGAGTGTGGCAACTTGAACTGCTACACATCGGTGCAAAGTTCTATGTCGAAAACAGACAGAGACAGTCAGTAATGATGAGGTAAAACTACATCCTGTTACGTGGTTTCTCGTACGCGCCTCTAAAAGTCAATCGCAATCGTTCACACTAATAGCGGATGAAAGGCAACCGAACATCTCCAGAAGAAAAAAGAGAGAGAATGATTAAGCTCTACCCAATTTATAAACTGTACATAAATACAAATAAACATCATATCACAGCGTATATTAGCTGATTTGTCCTTCTACCATGGAATACCGGTCAATATCAGATAATGGTTGTTTTACTCGTCCAGGAGTTGTCGGTTTCAGCTGATCCAAACCGAACTGATTGACAGTACTATTTCGACTGCTTCTTTCCCAAAGGATTGGTATAGTAGGATCGACTGGAGGTGAAGTTGCATTGACTGAACCTTCAGTCATTGTACGGACTCGACGTTTACGTGTAGGATCTGGCAGGTATGTAACTCGTGATTCGTCTTGTTGGGCATTATCCTTGCTACTTGGTACTTCATTCGTAGTAACCCGTGTACTGCTTTCCATAAATTTCATGAAATTGCTCAGGATGCCTAGATCAATGCTGTAATACCTCGGTCTTATCAGGGAAGATACACTTTGAGGTTTTAGTATTGTTGTGAAAGCATCGTCTTTGTCGCCGTGTGTCTCAGTACACAGGATATTCGATAGATCATATCTACTATGCATTATTCGATGTCTCTCATGATGTGACGGTGTAGCTGGCGGATTTGTATACGCAGCAAAAAGAGATTTGTCTTCTGTTTGAAACAAAGCTGATGATTCATAAGAATTGCGATCACTCTCCATGTCTGACTTCATATTTCCAGGAGTTAATAATCGATGTACGGAGTCCATAGGCATTATAGGAGCTAAAATACAAAATAATACGGAAAAAAGAAAGGTGATTAAACACTGATCAAGTGTGTACAGACTACACATTGGTGAAACAAACAAAAAAAGTGTTTACTGACTTACTCAAGGGAGTTAACTCATTAAAATCGTATAGACTTTTTGGAGTACCATTTGACGATGCCATAATTGAATAGTACGGCTCAACCAATTCATTAGCAATAAGGCCAGTGGATATTGGACTTGACATGACGAGTTTACTACTTCCAACATATTCTGATGAATGTTCTGAAGTATATGAATGATGAACTGCATCAACACTGGTCATAACATCCACTGGACCAGAATCACTACGAATTCGTCTGTGTCTAAGACCCATCGGCAGAAAGTATTCATCATCCCTGGTTGGTTGATCATAACCATTATAACCGAAAGGAGGCTTTCTTAAAGACACTTTACGTTCTTTCCCGGTTTCATTAGTTTCTTGGTCTTGTTTAGTGTTCTTTACAGAAGTTGTTGTGTGGATATCACCTACAGGTTTTTCTGTTTTGTTATCATTATTTGATGCACAGTAGTTCTCTTCTGTTTGACAAGCACTGGCAGTGTTTATGTACTCACGTACATGAGAGTAGGCCATAGACATTAGCGTAAGATTTGTTACAACTTTGACTGCAAATAATCTAAAAAGGTTAATAAAGAAATTCAAGTAATTTCAATGAGTCAATCAGTAGTAGATAGTATATTTAAAAAAAAGAAAGATGTAAACAGCAAAGAAAATTTCCCTTTGTATTCTGCAACATTGTCCAGCTTGGTTGATTAGAGGAGAAAAGAAGAGTAGTAACACAGCTCCATTCTCGAACACCTTGTCAACCCTGGACATCGAACACACACAGAGTTCCTCAATATCTGTCTGTCTGTTTTCCACATAGAAATTTGCACATATGTGCGGCAGTTCAAGTCGCCACACTCCATGTAGCACACAAAGGAAGAGAAGAAAGTAGGAGAAATGCACATTAGAGACAGTAAACAGAGGTGTGAGACAAAGAAATAGTAATAACGAAGAACAAAAGTTTCATCGGAAATCATAAGTCACAAGGAGTGGATGCATCTGCGCCATTGAGAACGATTTTGAGCCATGTCACCAATTGTTTCTAACCATTGGTTTTTACCGTCCCGAGGACCCCAACCAGGAAGTCTACATCTCCCTACGTGACTTAGACTAACTGTTGTGGATTTCATTGACTGGTGCCATGTTTTGGTTTGACCACCGCTAGCTCTTTTCCAGCCTGGCCCTATATCAGCTAACATTGCCCGTCGAGGAAGGCGATGACTAGGCATACGTAACACATGTCCCAACCATCTCAGTCGATGTAATTTCACAGCCTCGTCGACTGATTTCCTCGCCTTACGTAGCACTCGACGCCTAACCTCAATATTGCTCACCTAATTCTACCACTTCACGTGGGAGATAGAACGCAGACACGTATGATCGAAGACAGCTAATCTTTTCATGTAGTCCACTCTCAATGGCCAGGTCTCACAGCCATAAAGGAGGACGGAGCGGACTGTTGAGCAGTACACACGCTCTTTGGTCGATAGTCGGATATCGTGTCTACGCCAGAGACGGCGTAGGCAAGGACTTCGAATAAAGCTGAATCATCGGCTATTTGGGATCTAAAACTGGTCAACTCTGCATTCAAAAGCACCAAATACATTCCCCTAGCCCTACCGTGGCCAGAGAGTAACGTTCTTACTATAATTTTTCTTCCTTTTTTATCATGTAAGTTTACTGTTATTATTGTTGTTTTATTATCATTATTATTGCCATCATACATATTTCATTATCACTCTACTACTGTTTATTAATAGCATTGCGTTTTCATACAGCAGATTTCATATAAAAATACTTTATCGTTTTCCCATTAGTTCTTGTCCACTCTACACACAACTATACTACTGATTAGTTATTTTTTCACACTAATCAATCACGTCATGCCAACTTCTGCCTCTTTCCAAACTTTCAATGAGACTGTATTGGATATCCAATACAGTCCCTACAGGAGGTCAATCGCGAGCCTGAATAGCTCAGTGGTAACGTCTCTGACTGACTGCAACACACAGTGGGTGACGCGGGTTCGAATCTCAGAAGGGACATGAATTCCTTCGAGGTTAAAGATACGCCATTCTGACTGGTGAGTGCCAACTAGCACGAAGCCTAGGTCCAGCTGGACTTTCTACCGATCGCCTCCAACCAATTAATGCCAACAATTACAGGATTTCATCATGAGCCGACATTGGTTAGAGAACCATTGGAAAACCAGTTGGGAGTACTGGACCCGGTGGGTGCGTACTTCTGAAGAGTCCCAAACGAGGACGAAACAGATGTCCAGCACTCCCAGGTTTTCCAATGGCTCTCTAACCAATGTCAGCTCATGTTGAAATCCTGTAACCATTCAAATCCTTACAAACCAACATTTGAATACCAATATTTACAATTGTACAGCTTATGCAAATGAATCGTTGAAAAGAAAATTTCCTTCGCTGTTTACTTCATTTTCTTATGATTCAAATATGGAATTATTTCGTTCATTGAAGATAGTATATAATTTTTTTAGAACCACTTATTCCGAGACATTTCGTCCTACTTTCTTTGTTCAGATAAAAATTATGGAGTCTCACAAACTTAAAGACCATGTAAGTTGTGAAAACTAAGAATATTTCAACTATACATCAAAGAAAGAATTTTGAGTGTAGCATCTGCTCACAAGCACAAGCCGAAAGGATGAAGATGGTCAACACAAGAGCCAGGATCAGAAAAGCAAGGCAGACCTTCATTGCTCAGAAATCAGTGTGATAATATCTGCCGTAATCAGCATGAAGAACAACATTCGGATTATCAACACTATTGTCAAATCAGTCCTGGTGTATATGGTGGTTTAGAGACTGGCTTGTCGTCTTTCTACTAGTCCCTGTCCATTCTATACACAGTCATACTACTAATTAGTCATTTTCTCACACGTTATGCCAACTTCTGCCCACTTTTTTCTAATTTCCAGTTAGTCACACCTTCTCTAGACTACACCTTACACTACGTAATACGTTTTCGAGGACTTATGAATTCTTTGTTAAATATAATTTTACGATTGTGTACACCAGCTCATGAAGATGAATCGTTGTAAAGAAAATTTTCTTCGCTGTTTACGTCTTTTTCTTAGGAATAATAATAATTATTATCAGTATTAAGGCTATTTTCATGACTTAATGATACCCGGTTGAGATTAGGACCTACCTAAGGGAGTTTTCTATGCTCTGTTCTTTGGATAAGAAGGCAAAATTACAAAGCAATTCAATAACACAACACACAGTACAGTATACAATACAGCACAAAAGTTACTTACCCAGCGATTACAAACGGTAGAGTTAAACAAAGAGTACTAGGATTTCGTATTGTTTGATATAACATTGCATTGATCAAACAACTAAGAGGTATCGGAGTTAAACCCATACGACGTGAAAGGAGGTCAAAGTGATCAGATGTATTCTGAAAGTTAGAAAATTACTGATTAGATTATTTAAGGATTAAAATAAAAGTAACAACATCATGAGTAATGACTATGAAATCAATAAAATAGGACTATATATGTATGTATATATATTCTGTGAAAAGAAATATCCGTAACACTGTGTATGCTGATTATCAGGACTGTTGAGAATGAATGAAGTATTTACAATAGAATAATACGACTTCTTAGAACTATAAATGGTAGGCTGAAAACTAATTAAATTTCTTTTAAATAACGAAATATGTGGCCAACGTGGCTTAAGACAGGTGAACTTGTCCGCAGTTATCATTAAAAATAGTACATACCAAAAAATTTAGTTTTTTTTTATTATTAGTCCACTATTTATTAGCGAGGCGTTCAAAGTGAACACAGGAGTAAGACAAGCTGGCTGCCTGCCTATTATCAGCGATGATATTCTTAATTGTAGTGGAGAGGATTAAGCGGAAGACTTGTGGGGAGCGAGGAAACAAAGGGGTACGCTGGATCACCGATAAGAAGACTCTAGAAGATTTGGATTTCGCGCATGGATGTATCCTGTTTAATGTCACACAAACTCAAAGACTTACAGGTGAGAACCAGCAAGTCGTCAGCAGAGATCAGTAGGACTTAAAGTGAATACAAAGAAGACAGAGGTTATGAAGATACCCACGCACCAACAGCAACAACAACCAGCACTAATCACCATCAGCGGGGAGAGATTTGACAGGGGTTACTTCCTTCACTTATTTATCTAGGAAGCATCGTTTCAACCAAAGGCAATCGGAACGGATGAAGATGTTAAAACCAGCCAGTCAGAATCGGGAAGAAAAGATACGCCTTCACCAACCTGAAACCAGTTTGAAAATCTTCTAGACTCAGTCAGCCAGTATAAAGAACAAGATTCGGATTTTCAACACAAACGTGAAGTCAGTCAGTCCTTCTATGCGAGTAGGAAACTTGGCGTGTTAGTCACGAAAAGGATTGCCAACAAGTTACAGAGTTTTTCTTACAGATAGTCAGCTCTCTAGAAGTCAAGTATGCGAAAAAATGTGCGGTTGATTTACAGAAAGGAGTATATTGTTTTACACTTAACCTAAATCCAAATGAGACGTTTAAATCATTCGACACTCCGATCATTTCATCTTATTAGCGAAATAAGCTAATAGATAATGTCATATTTCAAATAACTAACAGACTACTTACCTTTCCTTGACGGCATAACAATAAATCGTACGCAATGCTCACAGTGTATTCCTCATAGACCTAAAGAGTAAACGATGAAGTCATTATATGTATATGCATATAATCGTGATTATAAAGTCGAAATTTATGAATGATGTAAAAACTCACGAGTACATTGTGCATTATCAAATGCCTAAAACACGTACTGTGTTTGTCACAATTACAAAAGATACTTTCCTCAATCGAATCACAGTGACAAGTTCCTACTACCGGAATATCAAAGAAGTTCATAAACTCTGTGAGCAGCTCAGCACAGTTTTTTGAGTAACTGACTTTCGATGGTATGAATCATCAGCTAATGCCTAAATGTTTTGACCATAGGAATAGCAAATGTTTTAACAGGACCTGTTATCTGTTTACAACCATGAAACAAACATACTTGGAATGGCAGTCACCTCTCTATCTCAACTTCATCGACTTTGAAAAGGCCTTCGACAGCGTCGATCGAGAGGTGATTTGGAAACTACTTCGCTACCACGGTGTGCCGCCGACAATTATACATCTCATCCAACAGTTGTACGACAATGCTGCATGCCAAGTAATCCACAACGGGAAACTTACGGAATCCTTCGAAGTGAAGACAGGAGTAATACAAGCTGGCTGCCTACTATCGCCAATGATTTTCCTGATTGCAGTAGATTGGATAATGCGACAGATGGTGGCGGGCAAAAAGGAAACAGGCATAAAATGCACCCACACAAAAAACTTGGAGGATCTGAACTTCGCAGATGATATATGTCTGATTTCCCACAAGCTGGGAGATATGCAAGTGAAAAGCAACAAGTTAGCAGAAGAAGCATCAAAGATAGGATTTCAGGTGAACTTAGAGAAAACAGAGGTGATGAAGATTCCTGACCGACATTAACAGCAACAGACAACGATCAGCATAAAATGGGAGGAACCTGAAAGAAACAACCTCCTTCACCTACCTGGGAAGCATCGTTTCCACTACAGGCGGACAGAACTAATGAGGATATTAAAGAGAGGATCGGGAAAGCAAGACAAGCTCTCATTACTCTCAAGTTTGTGTGGAGGTCAACAGCACTCACCATCAAAAATAAGATCCGGATTTTCAACTCCAATGTGAAGTCAGTGCTACTATACGGATCAAATACTTGGCCAGCGTGTCATAAAGAGCACCTCAAACAAACTACAGACCTTCATTAACAGCTGTCTTCGCTCAATACTCAAGATCAGATGGCCGGTCAGAAAAGATCAGCAACAGGGAGGGATCTCTGGGAGCGAACCAACTCAGCAGGAACCGATTGTGCAACAAATATGCAGGAAGAAATGGAGATGGATTGGCCATACTCTGAGGAAACCATCAAGTGCGTCGGTGGCACAGTGGTTAGGACTCTCGCCGACCATGCACATGGTCCGAGGTTCGATCCCCTGCCGGCGCACACCCGATATCTATGGTCGGCCTGAATTTGGGCTACTGATATCCATGCTGAAAATTCCATACTTGTACTGAAAATACGGTGTGGAATCAAGCTGTAAATCAAAATAAAAAAAAGTGACATCACTAGACAAGCCATCGCTCGAGTGGAACCCGAAAGGGAAGCGGCGAGTTGGTCGTCAGTGCAAGGGTGACTTGGAGGAGGTCATGTGAAGAGGAGATGAAAGCATGTGGGCAGACTTGGAGCCAGGTGAAAACTCTAGCAGAGAACCGAATGCAATGGAGACGCGTGGCTGAAGCCCTATGTTCCTCTAGGAATTAAAGGAAATAATAATAATAATAATCGCGCATTCACAGAGTCTTTTATATTTCCAATTAGTTGTGACAGCAGAACTCTCACCGGTAGCTAACTCCTCAACTTATCAGTTGATTTATTGCTTGTCAAGATATTTAAGAATCCATATATATGTATTCAGCATTGCTGTAAAATGTTATGACTATTAGTTAAGACACTCGAAACTCTCCTGCAAACGGTTCGTCTTTTATTTTCGGGTGACGGTGATATATCATTGTTGTGTTTGACTGACGTTAACGAAAAATGATTAAAATAGTTCCCCTAAACGCATTAGTTCTGTATATCGCACAGTTTGCTAGAACGTATTATCAATAGCATTTAATCAGCAGTACATTCTACTTGGGAAACAAGTGCATCACAGTGACATCTGAATCTTTTAAATGGACATAAAAAAATGCAATGGGAAAATCTTAAAAGGCAGATACATCTCTAAAAAGTGATACAAGCGAAGAAATAAGTGACCACCCAATTATTCTACTTAATACAAATCAGAAAATGTTCCAAAACCAGTGTGTAGAATGTGATATCTTAACCTTACAACTACAACAACACAAACTGAGCTCTGTAAATAATTAGACCAACCAATGCAAAGAACACAAATGATTAATAGTTTATCTAAACATTACACAACTAGAATCGTCAACTTTAAACTGCGGGAGGAGACGGAGGGGTAAACAAACACTTCCAAGACCTGAAAAATGACATAGGGTCAATACATCGCCACAGCACTGATTCTTAACCTTTCGAAGAACCACAATCTGCTCTCTCTCAAACAAACAGTTAACGACTGCATGGATTTTTGCCATGTTTCCATCTGAATAACTTCCACCCTTCGAAACTCAACTGACTTTAGTTAACATTGTTCATCGTAAGAGAAGGTGGCTTTGTTCGCATAATATGTGTCCTAGCTGTATCAAACGATGAGACTTCATACTCTCATCAATTGATTTTCTCTCCGTATCCTACACACTACATCTAAGTTCCTTACCATGTTTCTTGATCCGATGTGAGTAACTGAGCCTAAATAAGTGTTAATACTTTCACATGTTCTACCTTCAGTGTCCACGTCTCAGTTGTACAATACACATGTACAATGCACTATATGTGAATATCACAGAAAAAACAGATGCACATTTAAATAAGAACTTAAAATGCGTAAAGTGCATGGTGAGGTGGAGTGGGGGGTGTTAGTACATTTTCTGAGCAAATATACTCAATAAATTATGTAAAAGTACAGTCAACTAATTTACTCTATAATACATTACTAAAGTTGGTGATGACTGTTACTCTGAATAAACTAACTCAAATTTCACACACACACACCCCATAGACAACCCAGTACATCCAAGGGTGCACAGACATCGATCTTTCTCTAGAAATGCGGTGACACGATCACAGCCCACCTCTGTAAGGTAAGTCCTTATTCATTGCCTTCATACAAGAGGGGTGTCCCTCACAAAAGTGAAACGGCTAACAGCTTGGAATGTTGGTCTTCCACCCTACGGCAGCTAGAAAGCTCTAATTCAAAATCGATGGTGTGCAACATGGGCTCTAGGATCCGAAATAACTCAAATAGCGTATGAACCTGTTTTGGTCGGTCACCAGCGAAAAATGAGAGAACGTAACCTCCTAACGCTACTCACTCCACTGCCTTGTGGATAGGGGTTCGAGTCAAAGGCTCAGGTGATAGCCTCTTTAGGCAACAACCCCACCTACTTCGATTTGGGCGTCCAGACAGTATTCCAACCCTATTTGCACAAACTATGAGATTTCGTGTGGCGCACATCTATTGGTGCCTATAATGTACCAAGTTTGTGATTTAATAATAATAATAATAACTCACATTTGAAGGAATCACATTAAACTTTGTAATGAATGAATGCTTTACCCAATCGACAGCAACTTCTGCCAAAAGAATACACGCCACATCAATAAGGATTTTTTGAAGATCATCTAAATTTTTTTAAATAGAAAAAACGACAAACCCTGTTTATCACCAAAAGTGGATAACACGTTAATATAGTTTCATCGAATAAATACGTTATACGTGTGAATAAAAGCCATTCAACAGAGACGGAGAGAGAGAAAAAGGCAATCTTTGAAAAAGAAAATATCACCAGTTTTACACAAAATATGCTCTCATTTCAAAGATGACAACTATAATATTTAGGCATTTTTATCAGACGAAATGCACTAACAACTACCAGTAACAAAAATAAAGCGGAAAAGCAACTGTGCAAATTATTAGTGGGATTGTTAAAGCTGGTTTGTTAACACACACATACACACACAAAAGCTATCCACTTCGCATAAAACTTAGTGCAATCAATGAGAGATTACAGAGGAAAAAATATGCTTAAAACTCAAAGGAAAAACATGTTATAAGAATAGAACATGTGCACTGTGGTGGAGTAGAATTCCAGTGTGGGTAAAATTTATTTTGATAAAGTTTGACAGTATTATACAGTAATATTTACTGATGACCACGGTTCGAGCGCAATTTATTAGCCCTCATAATTATATGAAGGCACTGCTCACGCAACTTTCCAATTCCGTTTATATTTTTTGTTTTTTCCTTCGCGTTCCCCAGTGGAACATAGGGCTTCAAGCTAGTGGCTTGAAGTTTCTGTAGCAGTGTTTATTTTTACAGGATGGGGTTGTTAGTCTCATGCCCAACCTTCCCTCTTTACCAGTCTTTGTCGCTGGCTTAGCAAGGTGAAGGAGTGCGTCGGTCGGGGAATTCCGTTTATATAATTCCATCATTATTTCTCATATCTTGACTGGATCGGTAGTAATATTTTCCATATTTCTGGTATGAGTGATGAGTCATTCCTATTGCACGTGTTGGGTGTAGATTCGATGATCAAGGATTCAGTAATCGACCTCTCTGCCCACCTACTTATATTGTGGTGAGAGCTGGCTGCTAGCCAAAGTTGGTAAACAGTAATTGACATCAATGTTTATGTCCCCAATATTCGTGGTGAGAAAATGAGAACAAAGGCTTTGCGTAGGCGGATACAGTTAGCATATGGATGATCTGACACAGCCACAAAGAGATGCAAGGTTAACTTTCTGTTAGAAACAGCCAATCAAAAGACTTTATTTTCTACTTACAATAATCTACAATAATGTACATTAAAATCTATAAATATGTGTTGATTTCCCTTAATAAACGATCTGTTGCCTGACCCTTTTTAGAATTTTAACCCTCTCCCACCCTATTGTGTGACTGTGTGTTAATGTATATAGTGCAATTGTTGAGCTTTTTTCTAAATTACTAATCTTCGCTGGGTCAACCATTCTAACGTCAGCTAAATTCTTACGTTCCGACAATCTGCATACCCCCGGATCTACTAGATTGACCAATGTAGTTGACTTAACTCATAGTCACTGCAAGGTATTTTGTAAATTATATTATTTTGTCAAATTGAGTCCACCGGGTCTCCTAAACCTACAGAGCTTGTCTTACCTGAGTAAGTTTGTAGGTTTAAATGCCACCACTCTAATTCCTGCTTTATTGAGAATCCTACGTAAAGAGGGTTTCAGATGTCCCCTCCTTATATGGTAGAACTGTAGATGCCTTATATTCTCTCTTATTTATGTTATCATTATTAGTTTCACCATTATTATTCTTTTGAAATTTTCTGACCTTCCGAATAGGTAGATGGAGAGAGAGGTTGATTACTGAATCCTTGTTCATCCAGTCTACACCCGACACAACACGTGCAATAGGAATGACTCATCACTCATACCAGAAATATGGAAAATACTACTACCAATCAAGTCAAGCGATGAAAAATAATGATGGAATTATATAAACGAAGTTAGAAAGTTGTGTGAGTGAGTGCCTTGATATGATTATGAGTGGCAATGATAAATTGTGCTCGAAACGTGGTCGCCTCAGTAAATAATATTACTGTATAACACACTGTCAGACTTAATCAAAGTAAATTTTTACCCATGTTCACTGATGACATCATTATTAAAGTAAGAAAATTTGTTATGTCATAATAGGTAGTAGTTACAAGAAGAAGTAAGACAGTCAGATCACGAAATAATCGGTTAAAGGCGACAGACAATTCTACTATGAAGTTTATATATGCAGTTTTAAAGCGGAATGAATGAATCACTTGTGCCAATTACCTTTCAAACCAAAGGATACACATATTTTTACACCTTGACCTCTCTCAGTAATCAAGTGTCAATGGTTTAGTTTGCAGCTGAAAGTCAACAAGTGAAAATTGAAGAAGACATAAAATGAACATAGAATTTTTCTTAGACTTTTATTTCATAATGACACTGAAGGTTGCATTGTTAACATCAATCTTGTGTTCTGCATCCACAATATGAGATAGAATACAGCTCTGAATAGATTTTGTTTGTCTTTTACTTAATTTTCAAGTATTGGTTTTGTAGGGATTTTGTTTGATTGCATGGAGGATTTCATCATGAGCTGACATCAGTTAGAGAACCACTGGAAAACCTGGGAGTACTGGACAGCCGTCTCGTCCTAGTTTGGGACTCTTCAATAGTACGCACCCACCGGGATTCGAACCCAGGACCTTCTAGTTACAAGGCGAGCTCGTAGACCATTGAGCCACTGGGACCCGATCCAATGGCCAAGCCATTATTCTAACTTTTGCCAATTCACGACATAGATTGAATGTCTTTTCGATGAGTTACTGCCTCATCTTCAACCTGCTGTACCCTACTGGTCACGGCTTCCCACTAGAACCCCAGGTTAACTGCCTGAATAGGGCCAGTCACTAGTGAGCACCATACAGAATGATGTACGGAAATCCGACGATGAACACGCCTAACTGTACTACACCCTATGTTACTGCTTCCACAGGAGCAGTCAAATTGATAGATATACAAAAAAGACACTAAATTAGATAGTTTATCTCTAACTTCCGGAGGTAAATTAGGAGTGCTTTTGAAGAGACAGAGTACTTCGGTCGCATTGAATTCTCTTTTTACTGCATTCCTTAAGTGTTGTGTTATAATTTCACTGGTGTTACCACTGAAGAACTGAAGTTGTAAGAATCAGGCTTTTTTCGAAAGTGTTGATAATTCGGCTTGACTTGGCTTTAGACTGATATTCTTGTCGATGAATTTTTTCGGGTAACCATTCTCACTCAGCAACTGTTTGATAATATTACGCTCTTTATTAAGACATTCATCAGAGCAAATTGCTCTTGCTCTGTGGCGGAACAAGCAATTTTGTTAGACTGCGTTTGTATTTCAAAGACAGTTGAAAATAAGGCTTCAAACTTTCAGCTTCGAAGTTTCATTGACACTAGTGTTTATTTTTTTTATTTTTGAGGTGAGGTTGCTAGCCTCTCTTTCAAACTTTCGGTTTTCGCCAGAGCGAGGTTTAGGAGTGCGCATCGGGAGGAGATCGAACTCCGGACCACGTGGGTAGTTGGCGAATGCTCAACCACTAACGCATTTTGACAGGTGTTCGACAACTTCTGATGAAAATGGTTTAAGCATAAAAGCCCTTTTTTCCTATACTACGAATACTCTGCATCCACCAAAAACTAGTGCAATTGAACACTGTTGTTCAAATAAATCTAGTAACGCCTTATATCTATCTGTAAACAAAGAAAAAACCTATTTTCTATAAAAAAAAATCAGTTACATATCAATCGATGGATTAAGCCTTTTTTTTCTCATTACATGTTCGCTCTATATTATTAACGCCCTAAAAATCTCAATTAAGACCTTGAGCTAAGTTGTGAATTATTTTCAAACAAAAAAATAATAAATAATTTATTCTGTTTATGCATTACACACTTCACCTAAAATGAAAATAACATGCAATAACAAAAGTATAATTTAGTAAAGTTGTGGAAGTGTGCTACTGTGATAAGATTTATCAGTAGTATATAAAGAGACATTCATAGAGCATAAACACATCAAATAAGCAGGGAGACAGATTTGATGTCAGAGAAAGCAAATGTGATACAGCGTTGCGGAGATCCATGGGAGACGTGAAATGAACACAAAGAGACACAATATGAAGGAAGGCGAGAAGTAGTACAACGCGGAAGATCTGTGCGTTGAAGATAAGGTGTACATTATTTGGCTATATAATATGTATAAACACTCCTTTACCTAGTCTCTCATCTTTTACCGTTACAAAGTGGTTAATTAAACAAGAGTTTCTACTTTGTGTCTCTTCCTTAATACACCTGAAAAATTCTAATTCTTCTGTAATAAAACGTTACTGTAGATGAATAATGATAATATATTATTCTGCAAAACACTTACAGAATCAAGAGTAATCTCTACTGATTTCATATATCTGTACAACAAGGAGAAAACAGACAATGGCAAACTTAGTTGTTAATTCCTTTTGTGTTCAATCACTTTTGATGTCAAAAGGAAGTGACAGCTGAATGACGAATAATCCAGCTCAACAGGTATGTTCTAAATAATGCAATAAGGAACATCTTTCGCAGGATAAAATGAATTCATTTCATTTCATAAGATTTGTGTCAGCTGCATACTTTTCTTTGTTCCTTAACGTTCACAGTGGAACAGTGAACTGCAAGCTAGAGCTTTGAAGTTTCGATAGCAGTGGTGTTTATTTCTACGGGATGGGGTTGCTGGCCTCATGCCCAACCTTCCCTCTTTACCAGTCTTACTACTTACTGGCTTTCCAATGAAACTATATTGTTCTTCGATATTACTATTCCTTTTGTCTCATATCACTGTCTACTGTCTCTATTTTGCATTTCTTCTACTTTCTTCCCTTGCTTTGTGTGCTACATGAAGTGTGGCAACTTGAACTGCTGCACATCGGTGCAAAGTTCTATGTCAAAAATAGACGGACAGACAAATGTAAACTTAGCGTTGTTAGTACATAGCAGATGTCCAACATCATCTATCGTGAAGCACATCATACAGACAGGTCACAAGGTTGATTTCAATAATGCCTTTATACG